TAGAGGGCACAGCTCATAACATTCATCTCCAGGTCTCCAGCACAAAGCCCCATACCTAACCAATAGCAGTTGCTCAATAAATACATGCTTTAAAGTCTGTATATGAGATTAAAGGTTAAAAGTTCTCCTAGTTCTTGCCATTGGAAAATAATTTATTTTGTTCTTTCTCCAAAAGAAGACAGAAAATTTGGTTTAACTTTCAAAAGCATATTTTAACAAGATAAAAGTATATCTCTCTTTTGCCCTTTTAGATTGACCTCTTGAACCCAAAACCAGCTTACTCAAATTGAGAGTTGATATGATTAGTGTTTGGAAAGTTTTTATATAATGGAATTTGGTTTACCTCAAGAAAATCTGGATGAATATGAGTCTCATGCAATATTTTAACATTTTAATTCATTGCTGACTCTACAGGGCAAAGGAGGTCATACCCTTAGTCCAATTCTGGGATGAAGAATTGAGACTTTTTCTAATAGGCAGAAAGATGTCTTGCTTCAGACATAGAACTGCCAATACATTGATATTTAAAGTATGTAAATGCCATGCTGTGATAGTTGATATTTTGCTAAATATTTCAGTGTTATTAGAGTTATATTTACATATATTATAAATTATTCAATATTTGCTGTCTGCTCTATGTGATATAGAAAAGATGCCAAGAATGATGTCCATCCTAGAATGAGGTGCTTACTATACAACTAAAATGTTAAGAAAAAGGAGAAACACTGGATAATACCTATCACCTAGATTAAAGAGAAATACTACAAAGTTGGCCAAGATGGTATCAGAAACATTGACTTGAATATCAGTCTGGAAGTCTAGTTGGGAAAACATCATGAACAGAGACATGTGAAATCTCTGTACTCTTTCACTTCCCACTGATGTTGGGCTGATGTTACAGAGAATGGGATTTGGGGTTGGATATTCTGTAAAGACCCTTTACAGAGAACCTAACATGCCATATAGTTGGATTAGGATTCAGAAATGTCAAGGGGAATTTTTAGGCAGGGAAATGACATGATGAAACAGATGTTTCAAAATACATTTTGGGAAATTGTAAGATTCCAGGGATTTGACATAAACTGAAGGTAGGAAGATGAATTGAAATAATGTTATGTTGGTTAACCTTAGAACAGTTTTCCAGCTTACATTGTGGGTCTAGTTAATAGTGCTCTAACTACTTCATGAGCAGTTTGTCCATCTTTTTATATTCCCTTCTTCAATTTTAGTTCAACTTTGGTATTAGTTTGAATCCTAATTTAACTATATCAGACATAGATTTAATAGCATGGAGTATTGAAAAGAACAAAGAAATGCTCACTCTGGTCATTTTCTACATTTAAAAAAATATATTCATTACACCATCCTTCATTTTTGTACAGTATATGGTTTCCTCATGAAATTCCCACCACCATTTCACGTGGGCACCATTACCATAGTGCCTTGTGCTCTTCCCACTCCTGTCCTGGTCCTTCACTCTAGTCTCATTAGGCATCAACTAGCTGCAGGCTGTGTCCATGTTATTTGCTATCCTCAGACTTTCCTTCCCTAATTTAGGAATAAGAGCAATGACAGGAAAACTCTTGAGCTTTCTATAGATCAAAAGAGCTATGGAAACTTCCAAAATGTTCACCTTATCACTGAGCATCTAAAGTACTGAGTATAGATTTTTATGTGTCCTGGGAAAAAAAATCATCTTTAAGACATACAATTCTCTAGTCTTCTATAAAAGAGGGTTAGGTTTATGGTTATTACACTATATAAGGAGTCACCTTTTAAAGAATATGTTAAAAAATAGAAAAACGAGAAAATTACCCTGAATAAAAAAATGGCTATTATAAAATTTCAAGTTTTCAATTCAGCTGCTTATTTGCATAATACTGATTTAGAAAGAAATCATAAAATTAATAGTACTATCTATTAATTTGATATTGAAACAAAAATAGGAATTGTAAAGTCGTCTGGAAGTAATATCATGTTACTGTATTTAGATAGTGCTGATAATGGCATATGCTATCAATTGTTAAGCCAAATTTGGAATAAAAGTATATTGCAAGGTACTATTTTTATTTAACAAATTCCCATTTATTTCACAAGGATTTAGTAATGATATCAGTTTGTCAACCCCTATAATATTCATACAATTATTTAAGACAGTTGTTTGAAAAAAATAAGATCTGTAGTATTATTTATCCAGTTGAAGTTTAAATTTGATTACTAAAAAAAATAATTTGCAGAAAACATTGTATGAAATATATCAGTGCCTCCACTGAAACATTACAGATAAGAAATTCTAATGCCGTACAACTAAAAATAATACAGCGTCTAGACAGAGTCCAAAGACATAGTATAATTTTTTTGATAAATTGGTTTTTAGAGCAAACACATATTTGATTTGTTTAAGCATCATTTTTTTTTTTGAATCAGTGAAATGATCCCTAGCATGAATTTTAGTTCGAAAGAATTAAATGAAAAAGCCTATCAATATCTAGGAGTATTTTCCTTTAGTCAAATATTTATGAGAACAACATAAATTTCTAAAAATCTTGGGTAATTGATACTGTCATTGTCAACAGTTGGTGTGTTTGGTAAAAATGTAGATGTTGGGGCTTTCTGCAAACATAAAATATGTCTTTTCTTTTTAAAAAAATATTTATTTATGCATACAGAACTTTTTCTTTTTAAGATTTGTTTATTTATGCATATAGAACTGGGTACAGGCCAAAAGTTCCGGGTGTGAGAAAATTCACCAGAGAACAGGGGAGCAGAACAGGCAGATTAACGAAGTACACTGCTGAGGGGAGCAGCGGGCTGGTCAGAAGTCTGTAGTACCACTGGGATCAACTCCCTGGCTGGGGATCCAACTCATGCTGCAGTGATTGGGGATCACTTCATGGTGATGAGCTTTAACTCCCTGCGCCACTAAGGGCGGGGGCCATAAAAGGTTTCTATATATACCTTTGAAGTCTGCTTTTGAAACAAGTTCTGTGGGAATTTATTAGACATTCTGATTGTAAGAACTACTTTTTGAAGTATGAATTTTTAGGCTACTTTGAATTTTTTTTTTGTTATTTGTTGCTGAATTTTGGAGGTAAGGGTGCTGGATTTAAAATTCGAATGGATACTGATGGGTATTCTAAAAATAAAATGAAAGGAAACAGTCATTTTACTATCTACAAGTAGGATTTCCTTTGTTTCAGTTTCTAGTTGAAACTGAAAATAATAATATGTACTTTACAATGATTGAACTATGAATATTTTATACATTTTTGTCATATGAAACAAAGTGTTAAATATTTAAAATTGTCCATTTTCAATTTCAGAACAGATTTTCTCAGAAGAAATTTTCCTAGAATTGGATTTAGAGTTATTTTATTTCCTTCACAGAATCCTCAAAATTGTTGTAAAATCCATAGGACTTGTCAGTTTTCTAGTGTTAAATAAAAGATTCTAAACATGACCACATTAATTTTCAAGTAGTCACAGCCTCTGGTGATAACACTGCTATTTAGATGGTATTGCTAATATGAGATTCTTGAGATTACTCTCCTTTATACTCACACAGTCTTCTCATTTGCCTTTAGTTAAAACAATCCTTTTTTCTCACCTACAAATAAAAATGCTGAATTCAGGGGTGCCATCAAGGGTTAAGTCTCAGCACTGTGGAAGCTATTGGCAGTCACTGCAGTATGACTTCCATCCAGACTGGCCAGGGGCTGACCCACATGGTGCAGCAGACCTCTCCTATCTTGCCGGCTGCTCCCTTCAGCAGTGTATTTCACTACTCCCCATTTTGTCTCTGGTGAATACTTTCACCATTCCTAATCTTTTGGCCCTCACCCAATTCTTGTATGCATAAATAATTTTTTTAAAAAATCTTAAAAAAAATGCTGAATTTGTAAATGGGAATGCTCTTTAGTTCAAAGCCAGTAACAGAGTAATCTGTTGGAATCCAGGAGCCATGTCTTGTGATGTAAGTATTTCTCAGCCTTAGACTGGTTTTGGATAGACTGGTATGGCATAAGGCAGGCAAAAACTTATTCAGGACTTTCAGTAGTTTCATGAGAATGTAGGCTCTCTTGAATGAAAATTTTATACTCAGGCTCAATGATTTATTGCTTGCTTTACTGGCTTCATGCAGTGATCTTTTTATGTTCATATATATATATATATATATATATATATCAGTACAAGAGTTAATAAATATTATAAACCAAGTTGTTTAATTCCTGAGGGCCAGAATTTCTCATTTCTTAACTTGCTATTTGTACCATAGAGCTTATAAAATTAATAGACAAATGCCAGTGTCTTCAATTCATATTTGTTTATCCTTTGCAATGATCACTTTTTTTGTACTTTGAGTTTTGGGGACAGTATCCCATACTGTATTAAATTTTTAAATTTCAAAATGGAAATAAGCTTACATTTTAACAATCATTTTATCATGTAGTTTTGTCATAGCTGTGATTTCTCTAGTCACTAATTTTCTCCTTCCTGAAGGTTTTCCTCTGCCATCTTCAGGATATTTTGGTGACTTTGAGATAAATTTGAGACTTTCTCTTCAACAAAATCTTTAGTGAAGTGGGGCCTCCCTGGTGGTGTAGGGGTTATATCTCAGTGCTGTCATCATTCCAAGGGCTCCTGGGCCTGAGTTAGCTCCTAGGCCAGGGAGCTGAACCATATGGTGCAGGAGACCTCTCCTGTCTCATTCCCTGCTTCTCTCAGCAGTGTATTTCAGTAGATCTGCCAGTTCTGCTCCCCACTCTGTCTCTGGTGAATCTTCTCACTCCTGGCACCTCTGACCTACACCCCATTTCTCCTATGTATAAATAAATCTTCATTAAAAAATATTTAATCCCTTGGTAATGCTCAACATGTGAAGACTGATGGATCTGATGATGGGAAAGTCTAGTAAGAGTTGCTCTTACTATGGGGATGATTCATGGGAGGACTGTTCACTTACCTTTTTATGTGTCTTGTCTCTCTTCCTGACTCGACAGCTCCCCCTACTGTTCGTATTGTGCACTCCGGCTTGGCCTGTAACATTGAGGAGGAGCGCTACTCTGAAAGGGTCTACACTATAAGGGAAGGAGAAACCCTAGAACTGACCTGTCTGGTCACAGGACATCCACGTCCACAGGTGAGTCCTGATCCGTGACACTGGCAAGGTGTGTGTGTGAGAGAGAGAAAATCAAATGCATGTGTTGCTAGCTAAGCTTTCAAACTTGAAGTATTCATGTGAATAAAATGAAAAAAGAAATTTTTGTTTTGGTATTGTGAGAAAATTGGAAGACACTTCTATGGAAGCTGTTAAAAAGACAACTACAAAAATATCTCAGCAAGATAACAATTCATATGGCAATGAGTTTATTTTCGGATGTAGAACATGATTTCATGATGACATAATTGCAGCCAAGGAAGCATTTGTTCTGAAGAATGTGATGCAGGAGGTCACATGTACTTTTCTCACTCCAAGTTATTATATTCATAGAAAACTTTGCAAAACAAATGTTTGCAGGTGCTGTAGGCACTTAGACTTTCAGAGTCATCAGCTACAGCTTTTGTAAACTAATTTATGAAAACAAAGACAACTGAAATTTATTTAAGGGCACCAAAATGATGAACAGTGAGCAAAGTAATAGTTCACAGGAGTAAAAGAAAGGATTATATGTGGCTAACATAATTAGACTACATATATATGAGGTAAAAGTGGAAGTGGATACAGTATATTTGGATATTCATTTTTTGTCAAGTCTTATTATCATGTAGTTAACTTGACTACTTCAAAATTCACAGTGGTAACTAACAAGACAGGAAAGGAGTCTATAGATAGAGTTATATACTTTAAATATTTGTGTTATGGAAAAAAAAATCAGCTAATAGAAAGTGTAGCAGGGTAAGCAAAGAGTAATGTGGAAATTTGATGACCCCACCATTTTAGCTATGTCATTCGCTCCTTCCTCCCCTAACTCTTAATACTTGGCATGTTTTGAAATTGCTATTTTAACCTCGAAAAACAAGTTAAAATAGGCACATGAACTTCAAAGAATGAAGCAATAGATTGGTAGCTTGTGGCTAAAATAGAAATGGTAAAATAGATTAGCAAAACATGCTGCTGGTATATTGGGAAATATTAAAAACAATCTAGAAAAAAGTGATTGTTAAAACTTATTGAAAATATTATGATTCATAGTGACTAAAGTTATAAATTATATTTGTTATTAAGTGAAAATTGGTTAAAATGTCACAATAAAATTGAGTTCTACAAAATTTGACCCAATATAATTAAACTTGGTAGAAAAAAATGTTTGCAAAATTAAACATAAAAGGACAAGAATAATAAATGTCAAAAACTGATAGGACGATGAAACTGATATATAAAACATTTTTATTTTAAAATGTATACAGAAAATAATGGAGTCCAGGGAAACTAGTTTTCTGAAAATTAAAAAATAATAGCATGAACTCAAAGTGCTTTTAAAGAATTTCTAATGTCATTATAACTTGATTTTAAATAGTGAATTTATGTACATCCTATGAAAATTTCAGAAATAAAAAGCTGGAATCAAAACAGAAGTGTCCAAATAAATGTGAAGGAATCCAGAAGTTGGTTTATGAGAGGCAATTTATAGCAAGAGACTATTCAGCAATACTTCCATTATTTCTACCCAGAACACAATTCTATATCTTTAGAACTCCAGGTTTTACATAGAAATACTACTCCTTATTTTGTATCTAAATCATCTCAGCTGTTTTGTTCCCTCTATCTAATCCTTACATATCCTAGTATTAGAATTTCTTATTTTTTTTTCCCCATAAACCTTCCCTTTAACAATCTTGTTGTGTTACAGAACAACCCCAATGTGAAATGGGTTGGC